CATGGTGGTGTTGGGTCGACGGTTGGACTCGATGATCTTAGAGGTCTTTTCCAACCGTAATGATTCTAATGACTCTATGTGCACTTGGTTTCTGAGATCCCTCTATGGGTACCCTGCAATCCCTCCCAGACTCCGTTTTGTTTTTTTTTTTTCCCCTAGTTCAACTAAAACTCAGTTTTCAAGCCACAACTCAATTTTCAAGTTGCCGTCTATTAGCTTTCCTGTATGCTGAGCAACTTTGTCTCACCCATGGAGGGCAGAGGAGAGGCTGCAGCTCATTCATAGCTCCAGAAATGGGGGGAGAGTATCCCAAATTCGACGGAGTGTCACCACATCATCAAGCAACACATTGGATTTGAGGTTTCAAATATATTTGTAATAAAATGGAAGGGTAATAACATAGAATTAAGTGTTTTGAATGAAAAAAAAAATCACTTTTATAACTGAAACAATGTGGAGAAGGGAGACCACCTATGAGATGTTTTGGTCAGTGTAAACTTTAAGTTTTCCAAGGAATAAAAGAGGTTTGTCCTTGCTGGTGTCTCCTGCAGCTGCACTTGCGGGAGCTGAACCCCAACCAGGGAATTCACTCTCCCAAGAGGAGCGTCGTCCTGACTCTCACCACTTCAGGACCACATGTGGAAGACATAATTTAATGCCGGAGGAACCATTCTTAATCATAGAATCATAGAATCATTAAGGTTGGAAGAGACCTCCAAGATCATCGAGTCCAACCGTCAACCCAACACCACCATGCCCACTAAACCATGTCCCTAAGCGCCTCATCTACCTGTCTTTTAAATACCTCCAGGGATGGTGACTCAACCACTTCCCTGGGCAGCCTGGTCCAATGTTTAACCACTCTTTCAGTAAAGAAATAATCCTCTGATCTGACCTTTTCCCTAACACAGGCTGGAGAATTTCACCCGATCGCATCTGCACCCAGCTCAGGCATTTCTGACGTCATTTTCTTGAGGTATTTGCTATTTCGACGCACTCCGGTAAATCTTTAAACCGATCTAGCTCTTTTTTTTTTTGCTAGTCCCGGGGAAGAAAAACACAGTGAATATGAATGGAATTTCCTTACTTAAATGCAGGGGGAGCTGCTGGTACTTCACCAGGAGAGCGCAGTAAAGTGGGTAAGAAGTTAAGACTCTGACCTTCGGCATGTTAGGATGGATCGTAGCCACCTTCTTGCTTCCCAGCGCAGGAGCCTGGCACACAGGGAGCTGCTTTCCCTCCCAGATGCAGCTAGCACGGCGATGGGAGCATAAAATCTTGCTGCGGTCCTGCTTCTGATGCACACCCACCCCCAGATCCCGCAGGTGACTCATTCTCTTCTACTGTGCGGAAGAAAAATACAGCAATTAATAAAAAAACCTAAACAAAACCCACACAGGCCATGCCTTCAGGCACAACGAAATTGAATTCCTCCGGCAAACGAAACCGGAGGAGCGGCTGAACCAACAAAGCTCCGGAGAGCGCGGCCGGGAGCGTGTCTGCGTAATGTGGCAACCCGACCGCGTTTCCAGGGAAGTCCGAAGGGCCCAGATATAGGTCGCCTGAGGTTTGGTGTTGCTATTTCGGTCTTCTCATCTGCTCTCGTGAGTTCTGGCAGTTACTAAAGACAGTGACAGCTGGTTCCTCCTCCCCCCCCCATTTTCTCCACCCCCGAGCCTAGAAATCACCCCTCTCTGTGCAAAGCACCGTCATCTCTGTATCGGGATCGCTGGGATGCGCTTTTAGCCACGGGACAGGATCCACCGGTCACTTCAGCAAGTGATGTCCAGCTTTGGAGGATGGGAAGCTGCAGCAATTCGTGTAAGCCACATTAGCAATCATCATCTGACTGTCACCACGGGCTCTCTGCTCCCTGCAAACCACGAAGAGGCAGGGAAGTCCCGACCCCAAATTGCCACACACCCTTTGTGCAACGTGGGGGGAGCAGCTGAAGGTGGCAAAATTAACTGTATCAAGTGCTTCCCTCTGATTGCAGGGGCCGGACTTGGTAAGCCAGGGCTTTTAGGGCTGTTTTTTTTCTGAATTATTAGTTAAAGAAAGCGTATAAGCAGGATTCAAAACAATTGCAAGGAATTCATGTAACCCATCACCCTGAGACTTGCCGGCCTGTGTTACTACAGAGGAAGATAAAAGAAACCCCTGCATAAGAGTTGTGGATCACAAAGAAATTTCCCTCCTGAGCCCTGTTAGCCGGAGATTTTGTTTTGAAGCAAGAAGGTTTCTATCCTCTCCAAAACTTTATTTTTTTTTTTTTGCCATCCTTAGTATTACGCATCTGCGCAACCTTTTCTAAAACTTGCCAAACCACGAGCATCAATTCTTGTCCAGTGGAAAGGAGTTCAATAGACAGCAATGCATGCTGCAGAAAAACCCTCTTTTACCCAATTACGATGACAACAGGTCATTATTACAAGCAAATACAGGGAAAAGGTGACTCGTCCTGCTTTCTGCGTCCCGTTCGGTGTTTGGAGTATCTCGGTTGCCTTTGGTGCAAAGCCGGTCCTGAGCAGCACAGTCTGGCCACGGTGTGCTTGGATGCATCTTGGTGAAGAGAGACTCCGATCCCCAAAACAAGCTCCTCTTTTTGGGTGATAATTCAAAGCACCCAAAATAACGGGACAACCAGTTTGCAGCCTGCAAGAATAGGGTTTGTGCTGCGTGACAGGGAGGGTGCATGTATATTTGGGTGGAGAAGGAAGGTGTGCAGGGACTGTTGGAGGGTGCAAAGCCTGCCTGGATCATATCAGATGACTGTAAAGGGTAGGGAGAGCCCAGCCTGGTACAACCTAGTCTTAGCTGCCTCCTGGCAGCAATCTCCTGGGCAAACACAACCACACCTGGGTTTTGCCTTGAAGGGAACTGGGTGATTCATTTCAGGGTGTAAAATGTCAAAGATAGGGAGTAACAGGGTCTGCAACGCAGCAGGGTGAGTCTGAGATGAACTACAGAGCACAGCCTGGCAGGTACCAGTCACCTGAGAGCCGGTCATGGAGTTAGCGATCAAAAAGGTCTCGCTGTGCAGCATCCACCAAGCTTGGCGTGCAAAACAAGCTGTGAGCACCCACCCGGGAGAGCAGTTATCCCCGCACGGAGCTGCCCTTTGCCTTCCTCAAGTCTGCCCCAGGGCGTGCCATGAACATAAATGGGAGAAAAACCTTTCATCAGAGCAGAAAAGAAGGGCAGGCGACCCAGCAGCGTTGCAATGTGCATGTCCCTTGCACATTGGACGGTCCACCCCACCGTCCCCTTCTGCTTGGGTTGTATTTTTCTTCCCACCTCGTATCCAGCCTTGCTGTGGCCATCGCCAGCGCTCAGATGAACGTTCCCACTTCTCCCATGTGAGCAATGATAGAAAGACGGGTGGAAGAGGAGCAGCCATGCCATGACCTCCATCTTGCAGCCACGGAGCATCCCTGGAGATTTCATAGAATCACGGAATCATAGAACGGTTTGGATTGGAAGGGACCTTAAAGATCATCCAGTTCCAACCCCCCTGCCACAGGCAGGGACATCTTCCACTCGATCACGTTGCTCAGAGCCTCGTCCAACCTGGCCTTGAACACATAACAAGGCATAACAAGGACTCTCCAATACCCCACCGCACACACAAAAGCTGTCCCCTTTGGGATGAAAGGAGGCAAACCCAGGAGCTACAGAGGTTGGAGGGATGAGGATATTTTAGCCAGGATTTTGGCTAGATGATTACTATTACCATTAAGCTGTTCTCCTCTGGCCGGATTTATTGTTGACTCAACAAAAGAAAGTGCAGAGAGCTGAGCACCTGCCAAGTCTGTACAGAGCAGTGGTGCCAAGTGGAAAAAAAAAGCCAGTGCAAAATGGGAGGAAATCCACAAACACTTGTTTTGTGGCCCACCTCTGGACCTGCTCGAGCAGGTCCGTGTCCTTCTTATGCTGGGAGCCCCAGAGCTGAAGACAGTACTCCAGGTGGGGTCTCACGAGAGTGGAGTAGAGGGGCAGAATCACCTCCCAGTTTAAGGAATGGAGGAGGGTGACGAAACGGTATGATGGGTGTTACAGGGGGAGTTGTCTTAGAGAGGTGGAAAATGAGTGCAAGATGTCACCGGGGGGGTCGGGAGCTGCCGGTCGTATCCCATCCACATCCCTGAGCGAGATGGCAGGGAAAAAATGGAGGTCCCCTGCCCAGCTTCTTCTTCACCCTGGAGGTTTCCCCACCCGCAGGTCCCCGCTGTGGGAGCGCTGGCTGTCCTGCGTGCTGGTGGATGGGTGCTGGGATGTGCCGAAGCTTCACCCAGGCTGGAGTGATCTTATCAGAGCCGGAAAGTCCCGTTCCCAGGCTGCCTCTCCTGCGATCCTCTCCCTGCAGAACAAGCGGTCCTTCTGTTTCCCTCATAAACCCATCAAAAAATAACAGTCCTGACAGGCTGGAGAAGCAAAACACGCATAAACAAGCTGACGCAGAGACGGGAGAGGGGAAACGGGTACTCCGTACTCATAAATTAACCCGCTCCTGCGACGGTGGTGACTTCATGGCTGAACCGATTGCCCTGGTTTTGGCGCAGTTTGGTCCAGGCTGTATAAGCTTCTCCCAGACATTTCCCAGGCACAGTTCAAGGGCCCAGAGGCCACTCCTGAAAGGCCATTTGGGTGCAAATCCCTCTTCTCTGGAGCCCAAAGATTTTGGTGCCGTTTTTACGGGGTAAACCTTGCTGCCCCGGTGGTTGGCTCAAGGCCGTACTGTCTTTAGGCTGCAAATCCTGGGGAAAATCGTCCTCTCCTCCATGCTCGCACGACCGCAGCAGCAAAATCAGGGGTTTTGCGCCAAATGGGAGCCCAGGACCTGGGCAGTCGTCAGCAGCACTTTTCTTTTTTCCTCCCATTTCCCTCATTTTTACCTCCACCAGGGTCAGCTTGGGGTCAGCATAAAAACAGCTCTCAGGACTAGGAGTTTTTTTATTTGACACCACTGTCCGAACAGTCACATCTGGAAACCATGAGCTCCAGCAGTCACCGCCCACCGCTGCGCCGAGCCCTCCCTGGCCTCTCTGCTGCGTTGTGCAGCTCCTCGGCTCAGAATCACAGAATGGTTGGGGTGGGAAGGGACCTCTGGAGGTCATCTGGCCCAACCCCCCGGCTCAAGCAGGGCCAGTCGCCCAGGACCACGTCCAGGCGGCTTTTGAATATCTCCAAGGATGGAGACTCCACAACCTCCCTGGGCAACCTGTGCCGGTGCTCGGTCACCCTCACAGTGAAAAGGTGTTTCCTGATGTTCAGAGGGAGCCTCCTGTGTTTCAGTGCGTGCCCGTGGCCTCTGGTCCTCTTTTTTCTACTTTGTTGGTAGAATCTCCATCCTTGAGAGAGATACCCATCCGTGAATCTCCATCCATGTGATCTCCATCCTTGGAGACCTTCAAAGCCCATCTGGACGCCATCCTGGGCAACTGTCTCTGGGTGGCCCTGCTTGAGCCAGGGGGGTTGGCCCAGGTCACCTCCGGAGGTCCCTTCCCAACCCAACCGCCCCGCGGTGGCTTTACGCCCCTCTCCCGGTGCCTCCCCTCGAGTCCCCCCCTCCAGCC